TTATCATCATGATGCCTTTGCTATTCTTGAGAAGATGATTTTTAAAGATAAAGATTTTTCCCCTTATATTTTTATAGGTAAAAATATGAGCACCTTTTATGGCCCAACCCTATCCCGGAGGATCAAGATTTGAACAAACTTGAATCTACACTACCTTAGGATGCTTCCATAATATCAATATGACTCTTCATACCTTTACTGTTCTTGAAAAGAAGATTATTAAAGACTGTTAACTCTCCTACATATTCCTGTGTAAAACTTCAAGCGCCTATTATGGCCCATCCTACTCGGGGGGTCATGATTTGAAAAAACTTGAATGTATACTACTTGAAGATTCTTCCATATCAATATTACTTATCAAGCTTTCATTTTCACCAAGTCTTAATTACCTTTCCTTGAAGGAAATTGTGGCCTTTCAATAGAACAAATTTGAATCCTCCTTAACCAAATTTGGTTCAAATTGTCCCAGCGGTTCTGAAGAGAAAATGAATATGCAAAGTGTTACAAGAATGTAAAACGTTTACAATGACAACGACAGACAACGGACAAAGTTCGATCAGAAAGATTCACTTGAGCCTTGGGCTCAGGTGAGCTAAAAACTGTCAAAACTTACATCGAAATATTAATAAAAAAAATAGCATGTGAACTGATAATGAAAACTTCATTAGAATAAATATCACATGTTAAACTCTTTTTCAGACAAGTATCTGAGGTACATGGTGAATTACCTATCTGTATAGTAGGGTTGGGATATCGAGATCAAAAATCCTTTGACCTTGTTTCAGAAACAGAAATTATGACTAACATGTAAAGTCAAGAGTCAAATCCCAACTACACGTACATACATCTTAAAATCAATCCATTTCGCCATAGCAATTTTTGTCTTTTTTTTTTTAACTTCTCTATGCCAAAAGGAATTTTTAACTCAAGTACATATTTAAAAGACCAAGTTCTAATGAATGAAAAAGAATTCATTTTTCATTTTGAAACGCCTACGTTCAAAATGAATTTATGTCAAATAATTGAGTATGGGAGATGAGATAAACAGCAATACCAATGATTTTCAATGCTCTTCAATTTAATTGCCTCAAAGAGTTCTTATTAACATGATTAAGAAAATTCTAGATCTCGAAACTTCCGAAGATTTCTTGTCTTCAAAAGAATCTTCTAGGCTATATTTAATGACAGGCACGTAGTATCGTTATTGAATGGGGACAGACAGATTACATAATTGATAACTTATATACCTGGTAAATCTTTGACAAGCAAAAAAAATCAAAGACGAAAATCCTATTTCATGGGAGAAATTCACTATACTTCGACAATAGGTGCCTGTGTGGGGGAAAGGGGAGGGCAATCAACGAACATTTTCACATCAAATTAAAAGTAAAATATTTAATTCTGGAAAAAAAATGTACGTGTACGTGTCTCTACGAACTGTAGCCACTGTATGTATAAAATTATACAAAAATAAGTTCGAACTTTCAAATTGGTAATTTTAAGATCAGAATATTCATGAACAATGCAAGGAAGTTCGGGCGGCCTCTATCAATACTTTCGTTTTAACGTGTCTCAATAAGCAATAAATTTGACGTAGTTAAAAGCTATCAAACCATCAAGGCAACCAACCATACAATTGAAAATTAAACAGGGAGTCGTTTTGAAATCAATTTTGCAAAAAGCAAACACTGAAATCTAAAGACCAGTAAATAATTCAATAATTCGGTTAATTACTAAACACTAATACTGCATGCATTACAAAAACTATTTTCTTGCCGTAAGGTTCATAAGCTATGAGTCCTGACACGGCAAAATCTCAATATCGAATAAAGAATATTAAACATCGGTTTTACGTGAAAGAACTGCCTAGAAATCTAAACAGAAGTTCGGGTACTTCAAAATATCCCACAGCTTGAAAATTTTTAAAATACATACAGATGTTGTAACAATAGAGCTTAAATCACGGAGATACCAAAAAATCACTTACAGTTATAGATACGCAATTCATTTATCCAAATTTCAACCCCAAAACTGCCATATGCTAAATCCTCATGTCTAATACAAACTAATCAATGTGTATTGATAGCAGCGATCGATTCAAGCAACAGAAAAAAAGTCGTTCAATGCATTTAAATTCCTGTAATGTCATTGATGTACAAACACGATATACCTTATTCTTTAAATTCTTTTGACACTAATAAACGCTGAGTTGGTTAACTCATAACTTTTTAGATATCTGTGTTTGGAGTATACGTCAAATGATAAGAATACCTTGATTGTAAAACTGATATTCAACAGAAGTACTCCTGCACCCCAATTGGTTAGCTTCCAAAAATATTAACATAATCGTGTCATTTAAGAATCTTCAGAATGATATGATTTTTTTTAAAATTACAAATAAAGTCAACATTCGTTGATTTTTTTTTAATTTCTGAAAAAAAAATCTTTCAGTAGGAGAAATGGATTTCCATGCATTTAGTGCGAGGTTATCTTTCCTCTCACAAGCAAAAGTCATATAATACTATGTAAAGATATTAGAACTGGATTATCTTTCTTGGCATTCTGTTTCATTAATTTGATTCTGACTTCTTAAAAAGACTTTTGTTCTCTCAAATACGAGATACTGTGGAAATTCGAATTACATAATTCTACAAAATTTAAACTGCACGTTTGTTAGAGTGAGAGCTGTTTTCGTGTGTACATTAATGGCCTGACTGTGTGTACATCGATTATTTTTTTTCAAAGTTTTCAGTAGAGCATTAGCTTGCGAGGAAACAGTTTTATTGAATTTTATTAGGGAGACCAAAAAAAAAAAGGGGGGGGTTCAGCTGCTTCAAAGATTTTATGAAAGGGGGAGGGGGTTCTAAATTTCTAAAATTATCATACTTTCTTTTGTAACTGAAAATTATTTGCTTTATTCTCGATTTCTCAAAAAAAAAAAAAAAAAAAAAAAAAAATAATTAAAAAAAAAATAATAAAAAACACTTTAAGCACATTTTACTTCATATGCAGCACAACAATTAAAAGACATATCTTTTTTCATTGTTTAATTATTTATTTTTGAACACAAATCCACTGGAAATCTTATATGTAAACCTGACAGGGAAAAAAATCCTAAATGTGCATTTCTTTGATCGATGCCGACTTGAAAAAAATCTTCTGCATGGTTTTCAATAAGGGGGGGCAGGAGGCGATTTTTCAACATTTCAATAATCAAAATTCAGTCAATTCACTTCTTCAAATTTCATAATTAGCAAAATAAAAAAAAAATTCTAAAACAGCCTCTTCAAATTGATAAATTCACCTCTTCACATAAAAATCATTGAAAGTCCTGATTCTGTGTAAATAAATTGGTACATGCACATATATATCTGTGTTGGCTTTTTCAAATATCTGAAAAAAATCTTTCACGCGCAGTAGGAAAAATGGATTTCCATGCATTTAACTAGTGCGAGGTTATCTTTCCTCTCACATGCAAAAGTCATATAATACTATGTAAAGATATTAGATCTGGATTATCTTTCTTTGCATTCTGTTTCATTAATTTGATTTTGACTTCTTAAAGAGACTTTTGTTCTCTCAATTACGAGATACTGTGGAAATTCGAATTACATAATTCTACAAAATTTAAACTGCTCATTTGTTAGAGTGAGAGTCGTTTTTGTGTGTACATTAATGGCCCTGACTCTGTGTACATCGATGATTTTTTTTTCAGTTTTCAATAGAGCATTAGCTTGCAAGGAAACAGTTTTACTGAACTTTATAAACATGATAAAGGAGACCAAAATAAAGTCAACTGCTTCAAAGATTTTATGAAAAGGGGAGGGGGTTCGAAAAATTGTCATAATTTTTTGTAACTGAAAATTAATTGCTTTATTTTCGATATCTCAAAAAAAAAAAAATTGCACTTTAAGCACTTTTTTCTTCATATGCAGCAAAACGATTAAAAGACATATCTTTTTTCATTGTTTAATTATTTACTTTTGAACACAAATCCACTGGAAATCTTATATGTAAACCTGACAGGGAAAAAATCCTAAATGTGCATTTCTTTAATCAATGCCGACTTGAAATAATTCTTCTGCATGGTTTTCAATAAGGGGAGGCAGGAGGCGATTTTTCACCATTTCAAAGATCAAAATTCAGTCAATTCGCCGCTTCAAATTTCATAATTAGCAAAATAGAAAAAATTCTAAAACAGCCTCTTCAAATTGATAAATTCACCTCTTCACATAAAAATCATTGAAAGCCTTGATTTCTGTGTAAATATATTGGTACATGTACATATATATCTCTCAGGTAAAATAAATCTTCGTTTTAAACGTAAACTAATACGAAATTTACACAAATTTTATTTTTTTCGAATAACTAATTACAAGTTTTCTGACTGATTACCATCGTTGCAAACGAGTAACTGGTTAACCGGTTACAAATTGCCATCCTTAATTCATTCGTATTTTGATTTGTACATTCACAAACCTTAATCCAAATTATATTTTTCCCTTGACCTTCCTCTAGAAAAAGTTGCTACTAACATTTACCATGTGTACAAATGAAAAGATAATTGCTTTTAAAAAGTTGTGAAGTTAACATACATGTATATACAATAAAACCAGTAAACACTATTGGAACTTCAAGTAATTAAGTAAAAAAAACGTTAAGAGAATAGTTTAAGGTTTATCACCTCTCTGTTCACTCATATAAAATTTGTTTCAATAGTAATGATTAAAATTAAAATTAAAAGAAATCTAATTTATAATTAAAATCTGCTCAATATCAGTATACATGTACTTTGTAGGTCAAAATTTGTCAGAAATGGCTATTTTACTTGACAATCTTATAAAGGAATAACAATAGTCATTTATTCCAGTGAGAGATACATGTGTATAGCTCTTATTTGCGAGGGGGGGGGGGGGTGTCAATAAACCTTTAAGTCCCTGTTTATTCACTTTCCTCAAAGCCTTATGTGCAAAACAACACACAGAGGATTAAATATTTACCTTGCTCGTTCAGGTGGCCCATCATCATTTCCGTTGAGTAATTTGACAAAGTTGAGAACTAAATTCCTGGACTTTCTGCTCCACCTCTCTCTCCCATTCCCTAAATTCTCCATCCTCCAGAACTGTCTCTGATGCATTCAAACAGGTATGCTCAAAAGTCTGAACATTCTGTAGCAGGTCTTCCAATTTTTTCTGAGTATCATCAGTGAGCCTCTTTTGGTCAGCACTGTAGATGTGGTTCAAAGAGAGATAAGCACTGTGAAATAAAAATGAAAGTACTGAGAGGGCTGGGGTGTATTCAAGATGGTAGCAGCTAACCGAACTGCTAGGCTAGATATCTAAGGTGGTAGCAGCTAACCTAGCTTCTAGGCTAAATACATGTATCTAGGCCTAGGTCTACTGAAGGCACTGAACTTCTTAGTATGGCTAAGCTAGCATACTGCTAAAGATCATACCTCTACGTAGAACTAAATAGTGGCTATCATCTTCACACACTACCCTGGGCTCACATACAGAGCAGATAGGACCTAATGACTCACTGTATACCTCATTTAGTGTTTCAAAGAAACTTATTCTCAAAACTTCCTACACTGGTTTATAAATGTGAGAGTTAATTCAACTCTGTCATAACTTTCTGAGCTTGAATTTTCTTTTCACTTTTAACTCCAGTTTTACCTCATCTACTGGTCAGACACTAGAAGAGCTTAATATGCATTAGTAAGGTGTCCATTGTCCATCTGTTTGTCTGTCTCTCTGTGGGTCAGTAAATAATTCTTTAAAAATGTACTCCTCTTAAAGTTTTATTCCATTTTCAAAAGGAATTGGTACACAAGTAAACTATACTAAGATAAATAATTCTATATTTAATTTGTTTATTTTCATGACCTGTGTTGCCATGGTTACTAAACATAGAAATTTCTGTAAAATTCTTTCAAATCCTACTTCTTCTACAGTTTTGTTCTGATTTCAGTATAAGTTAGCACACAAGTAGACTACACTAAGATACATAATTCTGTACATTTGTTTTATGATTTCCATGAATGGTGTTGCTATGGTTATTAAAAAAGAAATTTCTGTGAAATTCTTTCAAATATTATTCTTCATCCAGTGTAAGTCTGATTTCAATATGTGGCTTGGTACACATCAAGTAGACTTTTCTATGACACATGTACATTATAAGTTCTGGTTATTGGGTTAATTTGATTAAGGTGAACACTATAACTACAATGTTTACTAGAAATAGTATAATGTTGGAATTCATTTAAAACATTACTCCTCCTATGTTGTTTGTCTCAATTTCATACAACTTGGTACGGAAGTAAACTAAATCAAGGATCATAATTCTTATTTACTGATGTTGCCACTGCTACTAAGTTTCAAGTTCAGGTGCTCAGCTTTACTCTTTCTTATCATAAGTACAAATCAGTAGAGTTAGTCTACAGTCTCTGACTGAATCTTCTAGTTCTCTTAGTTAATTTATAATTTCATAAACAATTACTGCAATCAGGTTCATATTGGGATATATATATTCTCTTTGCGATCATATACATATTAATTTCCCACATGAGACATAGCTATTTAAGATGGACAAGTATACCTGGTAGCTACTACATGTATATGTCACCCTGAATCAACACCATGTATATGTACTAGGGCTGCGCAATAATATCGATATTCCGGTATTTTGCGATGCGTTAACAAAAAATGTATTGCGATATGTTTTTCCAGTACCGACATACCGGCAAAATGAATGGGCTTAAGATGTATAAAGTAAAATATGAAATTTAAAATGTCTGTAGAGGTTTCTGTTGTATAGTTGCATATCATTGCTAAACTGTAGTGAAATCAACTAGAACTTTTTTTGTTACAACATATCTGTAAAAGTTTTAGACACTCTGCTTATAAATGGAGGTTAACAAAATAAGAAAAGAGCATTTTATTAACTGTTATTAAAATATTGCAATACATATTGCAATACAGTTCAAAATATCGCAATATATTGCAATATGAAATTCCCAACCGATACCCAGCCCTTACATGTAACATGTACATATGTACCATATGCTACAATAGGTAACAACTGTAATAAAAATAACAGTTCTGAATATCAAAAAAAGGACAAACAGACAGACAGGACAAAAACTAGAACTGTCCAAAAGGGACAAATACCCCCCGCTGGGTTTTTCAGAGAAGGTACCAAATCACTAATGTTTTCTAGATGTGAGAGGTGTTCACAATTTGCTTAAACATTTAGAGTGAAAATTTATTTACTCATTATATTTTTTTTAATGAATGAAACTAAGGTGCATCCTAATAAAACATCAATGCTAGTAATTACAGTATTTTTTAAATACATTGAAAAAATAGTTTGCAACTATCTGTCATCTTTGTGAGACATGACACTCTGCAAATTGATTGTTGAAAAAAAAAAAAAAAAATTAATTATACAAAATCAAATTGATCTTAATACCTTTATATCAAACTCATTTTACTAATAAAAGGTTGGTTCCAGTAACTATGTATTTTGACAGACATAAATTACAATTAAGAGACTTAGACAACAGAGATCTTTATTTCTTTCTGCCCCATTCCCAGGAGATATAGATAAGACTTGCTTGATCAGAGATGCCCTAACAGCTTCCCACACTGAACTCATTAATTAATCTTTAACTGGATGCATGTCCACTCATTACTCCAAAGGGACAAATGGATTTACACTATCTGCTGTGTCATGTAAAAACTGATTTTAATACTTTGTGATTTTTTTTAGTTCTAATGAGTAGTTTTAAGCTGTAGTTCACATTTTTGTACAGATGTTCTAGATTCTATGTCTCAAACCTTAGACATGAATCTGAAATGACTAAGTCAATAAAAATGAAAAAAAAAAAAACACCTGTAAAATGCTGACAAATTATCAAATAATGTTGAAAATACCAGGTGGACATCTTCATATGGTAAATAATAAGTGTACAAATTTTCATACAAATCTATGCAATAGTCTCTGGGAACAGATCCGGACAAAACCACATAATAAAAATAAAAAAAACACCTGTAAAATGCAAAAAAATTATCCAATCATGATGAAAATACCAGGTGCACACCTTCATATGGCGAAGAATAAGTGTACAAATTTTCAGACAAATCCTTGCAACAGTTTCCAAGAAATGGCCTGGACAAAATCTCGTCTACAGACAGACGGACAGACAGACAGACGGACAGACAGATGGACAAGCTGATTCCAATATACCCCCCTAAACTTCGTTTGCGGGGGGTATAACAATATACCCCCGGGATCTTTCGATCCGGGAACATAACAAGATGTGTTTGTGAAACACTATGCCCCCGATGGTAACACAATTCTGGAGTGAGACGTAGACTACAATGCAATAGTTATGGCCAATGTTAAAGTTTTTCAAATGTAGGTCAAAGGTCACAGTTGAGGTCACATGATCAAAAATTTCTGTACCAATGGAAAGGTCTTGTCATAATGAAAACTCATGTCAAATATTAAAGCCTTACCCTTGACAGCGCAATAGTTATGGGCTAGGTTAAAGTTGACAACAGACAGACAGACAAACAGACAAACAGACAGGACAAAAACAATATACCCCTGGGATCTTTCGATCCGGGGGCATAAAAAAGAAAAAAAAGAATTCCTTCTTTCATTGTAATTTACTATTACCTTAGATTAAAGAAAGATTAGGACATATTTCTTTTCATTTTACAATACAAATGTATTACTGCATGGGTATGACAATCATGCCCTGTGATCATATTTCTGGTTTATCTAGTTCTAGTGATTTTATATCAAGTTTAATTAGTCTAAGAGTTATCTCTCTCTGTTCAAGAGAGTACAGTGTATGATAAAAAAAAAAAATTAGCACCTACTAATTAAATCTTCTTTAAAATCTAATTAATTTGTTGTCAGTTAACTCCAAGGTTTTTTATTTTTCTTTAATTCTTTTAATAAAACCTTCTTACAACTTTTTTTATCATACAAATAGAGTTTGAAGTTACGAATACATATGTACATGTACAACGGAGAATATTTTATGTATACTGTATAGATATTGCTTCTCAATGATAAAATCAAGGAACTAGACCAGGACTTATGTGATTAAATCACAATTATTGAAAATTTAATCGCAGAAAATTAAAATTAATATCATTATATCAATATGAAGACATGTAGCTAAATAATATTTTAAGGCTCAATATGTGTTCCTAATACAATGGAATGTATACGTGCAAATTTTTGTTTTGCTTTTTAACATAAGATTTTTCACTTTATGGCTGCAGAATTTAATGTAAAAATACAGATTTATTTAACATGTTTAGAGATAATGTCTGATATAACAAACAATTTTTTTTTCTTATTGTATAGAACTATAATTACAAGTTATACAACATGCTCTATTTTTAAGACATTATCATATTTCATTTGCATGTACAGCCACGTGCTTCTTTTAAAAAAAATATCTAGTACCGGTAATCATTTAAATTCTGTCCTACATTTCCCCCTTGTGGCTAACTTTAAATCATTTCACCTGTAACATGTTATTAATAGACCAAAAAGTTCATCAACATCATGAAGATTTATCCTTGTTCAGAATTTATGCCCTATATACATGTGTTTTGTAAGCATGCAGTATTCATATTGCCCTAAAATTTCAACAGCTTATTAGCTATTATGCAAGTTACATCATTAACATAACTGATGCATGATAAAATTAACAATTTTAGTTTCATGTTAATACAAATTAATTAATGAAGTTTTATAATATCTATGACTACCTAATTGATATGGTTTTTCCATTATGCCTACACATTGTGAGAAAGCCTTAAATTGAGTTGAACAAGAGGCCAACACATGGACCACAACACTCAGCTGAGGTATAAATTGCCCTTGTGCTGTTCATCACCAGATTTTTTTTCTATATATTCCAATATAAAACTTATATATCATTATCAAACTTATGGCCCCTACCTACACTTGAGGGACCTGATTTGAACAAACTTGCATTTATACTACCTGGGGATGCTTCCACATACAGTGGAACTTCATTACATGTATCTTGACCACAGATCATGATATCTCAAATACCAGGGATAAGTCAAAGTGAGTTGGCAATCCTAACCACTTCCTCTTTATATTTTTTACTTTCATTACATGTATGTCAAATCCTCAGATATCTCAAAGTTTAATCTTGATCCCGTTGAGTTTCACATACATGCTGTAAAATATGACTAACAGTG